CTGACGCTGACGTCCAGACTCTTCCCCTCCCTCAGCGACATGTTTACCTGCTCCAGAGTCCGAATCACCTCCGAGCTGCTCTCCAGCAGACGGGTCGCCTCTGAAAGAAACGCTGCATTACTGCCGTGTGATGGTTTAGCTTCACTCGGCCTTATTTGGATCAATCTGACACTGAAACAAAACGTCTAAACTCTGAAGCATCGCGAGTGTCAGTCCACAAAGAATAAAGGCCTGTGACTCCACCCACATTTTCCAAGTTTCACGCAGGAATGATCGTCTTTCTACTGCCTAGCATGCAGCTGGCTAACCTTAGCATTTAGCTTGCAGATACCATTCACCTCTGCTGTCACATGCACGAGCATCAAGCACGCATCCTGTGATGCGGCGGTGGGTGTGGTTTGGTACAGAAAATAGTTCCTGGATGAAATAAATGTTTAAAATGTGCTGAGACGAGTTCATGTTCTCGCTGACAGTCGTTACAGTGTAAACACAAAGTGTTCGAGTTTCTCGCTCTAATAAACCAAGACTGTGATGTCATCCACAAAACAACCACTAATGCCACGGAGCCCATGTCCATCTTTTACGTACAGTCTCTGTTTCGACCTACATTCTTTGTTTGTTTGATGCAGAGATGAAGATCTGCCATCGTTGATGCTCACTGACTTTTGTTTTCTCGGTTCAAACAAAGCTGCACGTTCGGGCGACTTCCTGACAGTGAACCAGGAGATCGTTACCAGGTGTGTGGAGGTGGAAAGGTGGGCAGGGTTTGACCTGCGGTTTCCATGTAAACAATAAATGACTCAGAGCGCGTGTCCTCGTTCTCACAGACCAAGAGCTACAAACACGTGGCGCACACCCCGCCCGCAGCCTCTCAGCGCGCTCGCTGCGTGCTCGCTGTGTGCCCGGGTCTTACCCTGTGGCAGAGGTATCGCCCTGACGCCAACTGTGGCCAGCCTGTTGGGGGTGGTGAGGGTAACGAGGCCGCTGGAGTCCAGGTGTAGGGTGTCGGATGATCGACCCGGAGCGGCCTCTTCTTTGACCTGGAAACAGCCACACGAGAACACTGATCATCTGGAAATGTGATAAATCCGCCCCTTTCCTCCCGGATTCTTCTCCTCAGAGCAACGTCTTTAAACTCCGTCAGCAGACAGTAGAGCTGAATCACACTTTCATACACCACCCCGGCCTCCAGCTCAGCGGCTCACCTGATGAATGATGGCGACTTTCTGCTGCTTGCCCAGCTCCTCGTTCACCATGTCCACTTTGGGAGGACGGACCACCGTCTCTCTGAACGGGATGATGGGCTCAGACGCGCTGATCTCGATTTTAGCAAACCTTTAAAAAAATGAAGAGTGGAGGCTGTTCTCTGGTTTCATAATCAGCCGGTCTGACAGTCTGCAGATAGAGAACAGATACAGCCCCAAAGGTAACGGGGCGACCGCCACGGCAGCGCATCATTGAACAGGTTCTACTCATGAACACAACGTGTCTGGTACAGGAAGCTCTCAGGTCTCGTCAGGATTCGGCTGCTTACAGGTCAAACACATCAGAAAACAATCATATGACCCCTGTGAGCAGCACGTTTTTAAAACACAACATCTGGACCCATTTAACCAGGAAGTCCTTCAGACTAACGTCTCTTTTTCAAGGCAGAATAAATCAAATATAACACAAGAACACGTAAAAAACAAGCCACGGTGAAGACTTGTCATTTACAGAAGTCTTTATGAGAGCTCTGAACTCTGCAGGGAGACAAGCGTTCAGCTTTAATGTGCTCTGAAGGTTATTCCAAGAATAAGGAGCTAAATA